ACATTTGGATGGTTTGGGACCTTTAGGAGCATGGTTAGGAGCTGCCCAGTGGTGTTTCACAGACATTTGGATGGTTTGGAGACCTTTAGGAGCACGGTTAGGAGCTGCCCAGTGGTGTGTCACAGACGTTTGGATGGTTTTTGCTGCCCACTGGCTACAGCAGTTGCAGTCCCATCTCTGTGAGCCAGCTGACAGAAGCCAGATTGACTCCCTCAGGACTTGTCTCGTTAATTCTTGTCTTTGGAGTTGTCATAATTTGATGCTTGCCAAATTCCAATTGCCATCCCACAAGGGCTCCTCACTCACCCTCCCCTGCCACAGCAGGGCAGAGGAGAGGAAAATTTAACAAAGGGTTCCTAAGTTGAGATAAGGATCGGGTGAAAACACTCCAAGGGCAAAACAGGCTCATCTTAGAGATAGAAAGTGAGTTTATTACTAACAAAATTAGAGGAGGATGATAAGAAGTAAAGTAAGCCCTTAAAACACCTTTTCTTCTCCCAACCCCTCCCTTCTTCCCACCAACCATGCAGGTAGAAAGGACAAGGGGATTTTGGTCAGTTCATCACCGAGATTTTCTTCTGCTGCTCTGGAAAAGGAGTCCTTCCCCTGTGAGGCTGTGAGGTCCCTCCCACAGGAGACAGTTCTCCATGAACTTCTCCAGAGTTGGATCCACTCTCATGAGCAGCAGTTCTACCAAAATTCCTGCTATGTGAGTCCCTCCCATGGGAGACAGTCTCCCCAAAACTGCTGCAGTGTGGGTCACTCATCCATGCGGTCCTAAAGGTCCCCAAACCATCCAAGGACAGGCTGGTCCAGACTGGAAGCAGGGCCCCCTTCTCCATTGAGTCTTCCACTGGATCACAGCCTCCTCCAGGCATCCACCCGCTCCAGTGTGGGCACTTCTGCCACGGGCTGTAGGGGAATCTCTGCATCCCCCGTGGATCCATGGGCTGTTGGGGAATCTCTGTATCCCCTGTGGATCCATGGGCTGTGCATGGATGTCTGCATCCCCCATGGATGCCCATGGGCTGTGGGTGGATCTCTGCATCCCCCATGGGTCTCTGCATCCCCTGTGGGATGCTCTCACCACGCTGCAGAGGAATCTCGGCTCTGGCCCCTAGAGCACCTCCTGCCTCTCCTTCTCCTTCTCCACTAATCTTGGTGTCTCCCTTTTATTTCCCTCACATGTTCTCACCTTCTCCTCTTCTCTGGCTAGAAAAAGCTGTGTCTCCCTTTATATTGATTTTCTTCTTAAATCTGTTACCACAGAGGCGTTACCAACATCTCTCATTGGCCCAGCCTTGGCCAGCAGCATGTCCATCCTCAGAGCCATCAGGGATTGGCTCTGCCAGACATGGTGACCCCCTGCTACCAAAAACCAGGCCCTGCAAAACTAACAGAGGAGCTCATGCTCTCAAAGGTGACAGCAGCAGATGGGGAACCGGCTGTGGGCTCACTGAGAGCAGGCGTAGGTCACAGAGGAAGATATGCTTGTGGGCAGGAAAGACTCCCCCACACTGTCTGGCAGAACACTGAGTCTTGCTGGGGCAGAACTCAACAACGTTTTGGGGGGTTTTTAGCATTCAGAAAGAAAAAAGCCCAGTTCTACACAGCATTTATCCACTTCCTCTCTCCCCTGACTTTTCTAGGCTGCTGACTTGTGGAAAAACACATTTCCGTGATGGAAATGTTAGGGGTGTCTGTGTGGGCAGGCTGTGGAAGCCCAGCTGGGTTCAGCTGGGGTGCTCTGAGCCCGAGCCATGGTGGCCCTGGGGCTGGCCACAGCACAAACCAGGGCAGGGCAGTGCGAGGGTGGCGAGTGCCAGGGCAGCAGTGAAATGGCTTTCCGTGTGTGGGAGAGGCAGCCCTGCAGGGATGGCTCTTCTGAGGAGCCATCTCTGGGCCAGGGCTCAGCAGGGCAGCTGGAGGGGAGCTGGCAGGAGGACTCAGCTCTGAAATCTGGACTTTGTGCCTTTATGGCATTGGACAAGTGTTGCTTTCATCCCAAAAGTGTTCCTTCACACCTGTCTGACCTGTTGAGCTGAAGGGGAAGGAGGTCAGGACATCCTAGGCTATTTTGTAGGGACAAGTGCTCAATAATATGCCCAAACCATCTGAACCACCACCCAGCCCAGGCTGCCAAAGGAATGGGATTAATATAAACTGGATTAATTTACAAATGGAAACAATTTGAAATACACAATGAGGTATAATATGATATACACATTGTACATGTTGGCAGAAGGATCAGTAGATTTTAGCTGCAGAAGGAACTAAAAGAGGTACATGGCTCACCTGTCTTCCTGTAACAGTAACAAGTAGGTGCTGGAGGGTGGAATGGAGGCATGTTAACAACAACTGATTAAATACACACTTTTACACATCTCTGTGACCTATTTCTTTAATGGAAACATAGAATATAAATTTCTAAACCTAACAAAGAACTTGCTAGAGAAAAAGACCAAAACTTATCCCAATAGCCTTGAAGCTGTATTTCCTCCTTATGTTGTAGATGTTGAGTTTTGTTCCCCTTTTTCCTTTAGCATGTCTGTATCTGCAAGGGGTGGGGTTGCCTCTGGTTTTTGAGTGCTGGCTTGGGGATGTAGAAAGGCTTCCTGGAACTCCCTAGTGACAAAGTAGTAGCAGACACTATCGAGGCAGCAGTTGGACGTGGCAATGCACCTCGTCACGGAGGAGAAGTTCTTCATGACACAGAGCAGGAAACAGGTAGATCCAAGGCTCTCCAAGATGAACCTGGCAAGTAGCCCGAGGTAGGCTGGCATAAAACATATCAGAAATACAATCAGATTTGCATAAATAATGTGTACGGCTTTCTGGATCGATTTCTTCTCTGGTGAATTCGTGTTCAGATGTTTCTTGAGGTTCCTGATGACTTCTGTGGAGCAGAAGGTCAAGATTGCTAATGGGAGAGTGAAAACAAAGAAAATGGCCAGCAGGCTGAGAGCAGCAGGTGTATGGAAGCAGAGAGCTGAATGTTTGTGCCAGAGCTGGATGGTGGCACTGACTATCACCAAGACCCACAGGAGCCCACAGAGGAGAGCAGCCTTTGATGGGGACCTGAAGGTCTTGGCTTTCAAAGGGTGCTTTATGGCAATGTATCGATCAATGGAGATGAATGAAATGATGTAGATGCTCACTAACATGTTGATAAAATACATTGTCTCTGTAAACTGGCAGAGCTCCCCTCGGGCTGACTTATTCCAGAGCAAATAAACCATGGAAGGCAAGGTGCAGATGACAGAGAAATCTGCAAAGACTAAATTCATTACATACACCCTGGTTTCTGTCCACTTCTTCATCTTGCAGGAGAACACCCAGAAGGCAAGGGCATTAAATAGTGCTCCAAAAAAGAAAATTAGGCTATACAGAGCAAATTCAATGAGGTGAACATGGGGATGCAGTTCTAGACTTGTGGTGCTGCAGTTGTTGGACACATTCATTGTCCTGAGTTACAGATGTTGTACAATGTTCTGAGACCTGAAATAGGAAAAGATATGGTATGACCTCTTAGTAGTTGTAAAAAGTATGTATGTCCTTTGTTAAAAATGTGAATTTGAGCTTTACAGAGCTGTCTTTCTCAGTCAGCCTGTGTCATCCTTAAGCTTTGTTCACGTTCACTCAGTTTATGAGTGTCTCAGGGTACATTTCCAGGAGGACATGGCAGACAGCCTTTATTAAATAGGGAGACCTTGAAGTGTGTGAGGGCAGGAGGCAACAAGAAGCTCAGAAGAGCCCCCATAGGTACTGGGCGCATCCTGTGACAATGTGAACACCAATTCCTTAAGCCAGGCTGTGCAGATGATGTAAAATTACCCTTAGCTTGGTGTTTGAGCTAGGGAGGGATTGCAGCAAAACTAAAGCCCAGCACAACCCATGAACAAAAGCTCTTCTGTCAGTTCTACTGGTTTTGGATTCAGATCGGGGGAGAGGGCAGATGTCACTTGATAGAAATCCTCATACCCTGGCTCTAATTGGGAAGGTTTCTGAGCCTTTGCACCACCTTCTGAACCTGGAGCTCCTTTATTCCTACTGAAACCTTAAGGGAGAGAACGAGGTATGCTGCTCTCCACTTTGTCAGGAGGGGAAGGGGGGATGGAAGGATTAACCTGATTTTAAGCCCATTTGTTCCAGGAGAGAGTCTGCAAAGCATAAGGCCACCTCTGGAAGAAGGAGCACCACTGCAGAACAAGGAGCTTGCTGTTAAGGGCTGAGTTAGATGGCTCCTGCTCCAGGCAGGCAGCCAGCCACCCTCAGAAATCCATGTTGTGAGTAGTAGCTGTGGAGCTTCTGTCACACTAGCTGCAAGATGCTTTGCAAGAATATTAGTTGTGTGAAGAGTGTGAGTTCATGGGCTGATAAAAATCATCTTTCAGTAGACCCCTTCCTGTGCAAAGCGGTTTCATGTGACAAGCACATGGAAAAATTCTCTGAACCAGCAATTCTCAGTATCTGTCACTTCTGCTTGCATCTAAATTCACTTCAGATAAAAACAAGCAAACAAAAAAAAAACTTACTTACTTTTAAAGTAAAGTAAGTTTTTTACAGAGTGAAGTGAGGAGGGATCTGGTGAAATCTTGTTGCTTTCAGAGACCTCTTTGCACTATGGACAGCAGGGAACAGTAGCAGCAGGGAACTGTCACTGCTTATGGCACAAGGCAGAAGTCTGACAGCTGCACTGGTGCCCAGGTTTCTTTTCACTGCCATGGGATGTGGTGCCAACAGCAGTGCTGCTCTGCAGTGCCTGCAGCAGCCTCTGCAGAGGTGCAGCACAGGCAAAACACAGTGCTGGGCTTTGCAGCACCAAAGGGCTCTGGCCAGCACTGCCTCTGGAGCTGGAGACCTGTCCCAGTGCACTTCCCAGCAGCAGGGCTCACAAGAGCTCCAGGCCACAAGGCAGTCCAGAAGCTGGGAGGAGGATGGAGGAAATGAGTAGAGGGTTTTAAAGAGACCAAAAAGCACTGATAGGGTATGAATGAACAAAAAAATCTTTAAAGATATGCAGATTGACCAGCTAGCATATCCTGTGGCTGCTGGAAATGCTTCATGTGGGGTAGATGAAATGCCTGCAGCATAAGAGTGGCTAGGCAGCGACTTAGAGCTGTGACAAAAGGATGGAGACAGCTGTGAAACAGCATCTTGCTGCTTCTGCAAGACCAGCAATGGGCTGGGGCTCAATAAACAAGGTCACCAGTACCATGCAGGGTGTCCTGCTGTCCCCACCATAGGCTGGGGAGAGCTGGTCAGCAGCTGTCCTCCAGCACAGAAGCTGGTGTCCATCTGGGGAGGAAGGCCCAGGCTGGGCCTGTTTCCTCCAGCAGCTCAAGAAGCAGGAGGCTTCTGCCAGACTCTGAACAGAGAGGCTAGAAGAAGAGATGCAAGGCAGAAGCTGGAGGCACAGGGAATGTTGCAGCAGTACTGTGGTGGCTGCATACAGTATTTTTCCAGTGGGAAAGCAGCTGCACTGAAGGAGTCTTGCATGGAAAATCCTCCTCCTTCCTTCTGGGGAGAGCTCCAAAGTGTGCAGGCACCAAGGGCTGAAGGGTGAATATGGTGGGTGAAATAAAGGGTGAGTATGGTGGGTGAAGTGGCTACAGACAGCATGGGAACCCTGGTGCGTGAGGGAAGGAACCTGGAACTGAGCAGAGGGAGAGCAAGAAGGAAAATGGGGGTGAAGTCAGGTACAGCACAGCATCTTGTGCATTAGTTGCCCTCAGGCCTGCCACCTCCATGGCAACAGCCCTGACTGTCACCAACAGTCCTATAAATGGAATGGGTGGCTCTCAGCAAATACTCAGTGAAGATGCAGCACAGGTGTGAGAACAAACCTGGGCAGGGCAGTACCTCCCAGAGATTTTAATGTACCCACAGCACTGCTGGCCTGCCCTGGGCATGGCTAGAAAGAGTGAGCAGCAAACTGTCCCCATGGCAGAGGAGACCCAGGTGAGGGCCCTGTCATGGTGCTGAAGTGAGGAGCTTTTCCTCTTTGCTTCCAAATAGCATAAAGCAATCTGCAAACTGCCTGCTCCAGCCTTGTTGCTGTTGTTCACATCTCTCTCAGATCCAAGGATCTAAGGCACAGCAGTTTGTTCTCTTCTTTTTTGAAACTTGTGTTCTTTCAGGCTTATCTATCACTGCATCCCTTGAAAACTGTAATGTGGTCACCCTAACCGTGATCTGCTTTGATAGATGCTAGCAGGGGTTCTCTTAGACAAAAAAAAAATCTCATAAAATCACTCATTTCCCATATTGGGATGAATTAACTTCCAGATCTCAGCTGCTGTGATATCCCAGGGAAAGTACCCAGAGAATACCTTGGAGTAAGAACAGAAACTGAAAGGCTCAGAGATCACAACCTACCCCAGGGACTCCTGCCTCGCAGGGCCCTCGCTGCCCAGCAAAAACCATGCTGAAAGCCTCCTCTGCCTCCCCCCAGGCACAGCAGGACCCTCAGCCAGCAAGACAGGAGGAAACAAAGTGATGTTACCTGCAGATTTAACGTGACAAAGTCAGCAGCAGGTGCCACCCGAGGCAGGGCATGCGGGCTCTGTGCAGCCACACAGCCCAGGCAGGGTGAGCGGGGCTGGGCACGGGATGCCTGTGCAGGGAAGGGCCTGGCACCAGCAGCTCCCTGGTACTTGAGGGTTTCCATAGCACCTCCTCCTCCTGCGTAAGAGCAGATTTCACATCAGTTAGGTTTTGAATGCCAACCTTCTGGCCAAATCAATGGTGGCACTGCTCTGAGCTCTGGTGCCTCCCTGCTCTGCAGTTTCTGAAAGGGTGTGTTCTATGGCCAACAGAGATGTTCAGCAAGTGGGGATTTGAAATGCCCACTAGTGCTGAAGTCTAAGCTAAGTAAAGCCAGGACAGCGGCCTGGTCTAGATGGCCTCATGCAGCCAGAGGTACACCTGAGTGTGGAATTGAGTTGTGCTTGCACAGCTCTGGACCTGGAGGTGGGCATAGGGAGCAGCTTGGCATGCAGTGTAGGAAAGCCTCCCCAGCCCTCCTCAAAGGCTGCATCAAATGGTGTCTTGGGTTGGGTTTGGTGCCTGGGGCATGGATGGAGCAGCAGAAGATCATGATGGGGCCAGCATTAGGTCTCTGGCCTGCAGCCTTGTTTGAGCACAGGTACAGCCAAACCATTGGGGAGCTTCAGCTGGCACCTAAACCAAGGCCTCAGCATCTCACACGGGTGGCAAAGAGCCTCACCTGTCAAAATCTGCATTGACAGAAGTGGAGGGGGCAGGCAGAGCTGTAACCCCCAAAGGGCTCAGTAATGGGCTGTTAATTGGTGTCAGTAATCAGCTGCTAGTGGGAACTGCTTCACTTACACTTTGCCCTGGGCAGCACTGCACTGCTGTGCTGCAGGGATGCACTGGTGGTTGGCTGCTGTTCGATCAGCACAGTGGGTGCTGTCCTGGCTGGGGGAGCTGTGAGAGAAGGGAAGAAGCCGGCTGGAGCTCTGTGAGAACCCCGGCCTTGCTCTGGGATCTCATGTGGTGGTGAAATTCCTCCTCCCACCCGTGCTTCCAAAGAAAAACTCCGCAGGCTTTAGCTGTTTGGTCTCAAGGCAGTTTATTGCTAGTTATCTAACAGATTATGTTCTTGGACTGCGGCTGTTTGATCAGTGGCCTGGGTAGAGGCACACACACACCCTGACATCCTCTCTATCTGCTGTCTTCTTCGTCTCTCTCCCCGCCCAGGGCTGCTGCTATCTTTTATATGATATATTACGTATAACATGTTTACAATTATTCCCCAATACCTACTACCTATGTTGCCAAGTGTTTTTCTACTCTAAACCAATCTGTGAGTGCCAACATCACCAAGAACATGGAGGTAAGGAAAAAGAAGGAGGAAGAACAGGATCAGCCCACTTTCCTCCATCTTAGAACTTCTGACCCCCATGTACAAAGTAAAAACCCCCCTGTACATGTGTTAAAACCCCCCTGTACAATACTAAAAAAATTTCCCCTCTACTTTGTAATTACTTATACTATACTATCTAACCTTTTGTGATTGCTTGTTCCACCTCCAAAGTTGGTAATTCATTCCATGGCTCAAACTCAAAATCACAGCTGTTTCCAGCTGCCTGCCAGGGTCTAAAATGCTTCTGACCAAGGCCTGGAACCTCTAAAAATGTCCGAGAGACATTTTGAGTTCCCACAGAGCTGGGGCTCTCGGGCACGGCCGAGGCGATGCAGGGTGGCGGGATGCCCGCAGGTCGCTGGCCAGGAGCGCTGGGCAGCACCAGGCCAAGGAAGCGCTGCAGCACAGCTGCAAACGGGGCTGTGCAGGGCGGAGCTCCAGGCACGGATCCTGTCGATAAGGCCACTCTGCCCCGCCACAAGGCTTCTGCAGCTCGCTGCCATCCCATAACCACAGAGATGTGCGTGCTGATCACAGCCCTCAGGAGGCAAACAGGCATCCAGAGTCCTGGGTGTGCCTGTCACAGGAGGAACAGCCAGTGTGCAAGGCAGGAGCCACAGCAGGTATCTCAGAACCACAG